GTTATTAAAATCCGCCCAGTTATTGATCCGGTCGGGTCACTAGTTCAACCAGTAGGTCACTAATTCAATCGCATGATTCAATAATTATATGCAATTTTATAATTTATACAAATATCTAAAAAATGATAAAAATTTCAAATATTTTAATATAAAAAATAATAAATCACATATTATTATCAATAAAGGATCAAATAAAAATATAATGATTGTGATACGAGGCTTTAGGTTCAGAAAACGACATCTCTAATTATAAATCAAATCAAAATTTTCTGCATAGTGCATAATTGAGATAATATTAGTGTTGTAGGTACATAATTTATGTAAGTCAATAAGCAAAAAAGTATTCAAATATGTCCATTATGATTTTTTTTGAAAAAAAAAAATTAGAATTTTTTTTTTGGACCGGACCGGGTCACCGATTTTCATGAAAATCGATCGGGTCAGACAGGGTCGCACCGGTTCTGATGCATGGCCAATTGTTGCTTCAACCAGACTGATTATATGACCGATTTACCGATTTTTGGGTCGGTCCGATTTTATTAAGAGTGGTTTCAACTCTTTTGGATTGCTGATAGGCCCTTTAAGAAAGAAATAATTCCGTTTTCTTTCACGTGTATTTCTTAATGTTGATATGACACCCACGAAATAAGTAAGCTTTTGCATTATTGACAAATCTACTATGAAAGAATAGAATACCTTCTATTCTCTGGTGTTCTTGGACTAAGAAATTTCTTATTTTATATTATTAAATGTGTAATTACATTGATTATATGGGTTATTGTTGTCTCTCATTATAATTACAGTTTTAATTTTATAAACAGTGTGATATACTTTAGTTATTCTTAAAAATTCACGGATATAAAGAATTTCTTTTGTCAATATTAACAAATTCTTTATCCCAAATTAGTTGTGTCGAGTCAACGAACCCAAACAAAAAAAAAGAGAGAGAAAAGATAAGGAAAAAAATAATAATAAAATGAAAAAACTCTACCTATGTATTTATATATAGCTTGTCCCAAGTCAGGGAAAGAAAACAATAATTTTGGTAGATGAACCCCTTCTTTTATATTTTGGAAAATTTTCAAAAATCATTATTCAATCAGTGTGCATGTTAAATTTTTTTTTTTTTTTTGGGTAAACTGTGTGCGTGTTAACTAAATAGTAAACATTTGAAAATTTTAAATATAATTAAAATAAAAAACACTTTACCCATCTACAAGCTTATGAACTAACTATTTTGACTATATGACCTGGACTATCAAGATCCTTTACCTTTCTAATTGCAATTTTAAATTATTTGATCCCAGGTTCAAATTTCACTCGTTAGGCTATTCATTCACCCTATCATAGAACCTCTGCCCCAGAAAAAAAATAAAGTCACGATAAAGTAGGGGAGTTGACTTCAAACGTAAGCCCCCAAATGCAAAAGAAAACAACTTGGACCTTTTCAGCGTTGTAAGGCGAATTTAAATTAGTTATCAGCTCAAGTAGTTTGCCAAAATATTTATCAATGTAATGTGAAAACATGCGTACTTTTCATTGCATATTAAGACGTATATGGGTAAAAGCCACGTCTCACGGATCACAGGCAAACGCGTGCAACTTCGTATCGAGTTTTAGACTCGCATTGATACCATGCGTATCTCGCACTGTACATTCGCACGACCAGCTTTCTCTCTCTTTCTTAAGTAACTTCAACCCTACATTATTTTCATTTACAGTATTGATTAGGATGATTATGAATTTATTATTGGGAAAAATTCTCTTTGTGATTTACTTTAGAATTACTTATATTCTTATGTTTTTTTATCACGTATACTCATGTGATTTATAAAAAGTAAAAAATCACAGAGTTATATATGATAAAAAAATATATCCTTTTATAAATCACATGAGCATAGATGATTCTGAAATAAATTATAGGAGCATTGGTGAACTTTTTTTATTATTATTTAAGTTAAATAAAGTGGCGATTGGAATGGTTAGCTAGTGTAGTAATTTTAAGATGTTTAGGTATTGTTGAAATCATAGGATATCACCCTAAAATTTAATAGAAATTAAGATTAATGTGTCATATAATAATTTTGTATATTGTTTTGTAGGAATGTGAATATTTATGGAGTAATCATAAATTAGTTTGATTTTGTTAATGAATTTAAATAATGTAGTTATTAATTAAGATTTATTATAATTTAAATGGCTAGCTAGATAGATATTATAATTAATTTTTTTGCAATGTTATTGTAGTCTGATTATGTATTTGTAAAATAATTTCATGGATCACGACAAAATTACTTCTGGCCCAGCAGAATAAGGTGTTTAATTAGGTGTTTAATCATCACAATCGAGCACCCATATATATATATTGGAACATTTTCATCCTCAATTATACGATTGCTGAATGTTGGTAGAGATACAAATGATGATGCATATCTATCATCCTTACCAATATACGATGCTCTATTTAGATCAAGCGACAAAATTGGTATTGACAAATCTTCAATATTTTCAACATCTATGTATAACTCAACAAATTACCTTGCACAATTCTAACCAAAACTCCTTGCAAATTGTTCCACAAATATATCTATTATAACATCAGCAGAATCGTCATCATTAATTGATATACATGTGTATTCATCATCATCATCTAAAGCTCTAGCTGTCACTTTAGAAATAACTTAATTCCATTGCAACCCCATTATTCGATGAATCTTATCTTTTAACTTCTCAAAGCAGTGCCATGTGTAATACACATTGTTCTTTTCTCACCTTCAAATGTTACATCATAATGGCCTACAACTTTTCTACCATTGTAGTATATAAGTAATTGAACTGTTTCTAAAATTGAACTAATTTTCGTTGCCCAAAGCAAAATAGAAACTAAGATGAATAATAGTAGAGACTGAATTATTTTTCATTTCGTGCGGGTGGGTATATAGAGCAAGACACACATGTATCCCTTGTGTGACTTGTGGTTGGTAAATCTAACTTCCACAACAACACTACGTGTCGAAATCTCGAGGAACACACATCTGTAGTGAGCGCGTCTATGATGGTAACAATGACTATTTTGTCATGCTTGACAAAAATTTTTATCAGACTACCACGCTAACAGTAAATTTTGCCAAAATGTCACGCGGCATATTTTGCTACACTGTGTAGCGAAATATGTTTGCATATAATTTGCTATATAGTGTAGCGAAATATGCCATGTCAGGCTGCACAGTCAGCAAAAATGACACGTGTCAAGCAGACAAAATCCAAACATAATTCGCTACTCAGTGTAGCGAATTTCTGCCTGCTTGACACGTGTCATTTTTGCTGACTGTGCATTCTGACATGGCATATTTCGCTACACTGTGTAGCGAATTATATGCAAATATATTTTGCTACACAGTGTAACGAAATATGCCGCGTGGTTTTTTGAAAAAATTTACTGTTAGCGTGGCAGTCTGATAAATTTTTTTTCCAGGCGTGACAAAATGGTCACTCTCCCTCTATGATGTGCATCTAGTTGCAACGTGTATAGTTAATGAAACGTACATGTACCATCAATGTGTCTGAACGTGCATGTACCTGATGGATATCTTTGTGTCAAGAACGCGCCTTCCTCGTGAGCGCGTCTGTGTTTATTGCCATGTATGTTCCACCTTTAACTTCTGTGTATCTTAACGGAAATTTCTAAAATACTATGGCTGTATTCAATTTTCTTTAGAACCGTCCAATAGAAATTAAACAAGTAAGCTCACATAGTAATATTTTAAAGAAAAAAACACTGTTTAAGTGTAAGTGTCTAAATCTGAGTGGTGGTAGTACCTAAGACCGACATACGAAAGATGTTCTCGTATCTTAACACGCCCTACCAAAATGCACGTCCTTTCACATTGCATTAATAAATGTTTGGCAAACGAGTTAACCTGGTAACTTGTTTATAAATTTGCCTTACAACGGTCAAAAGGTTAAAAAAAAAAAAAAAAAAAAAAAACTTATACTTAAAAAGATGAATTTCTTTTTATCCTAGAAAATTTCGAAATGTCTTTATTCAATCAATGTGCTCATTAATTAATTGACAAACATTTGAGATTTTAAAAATAATTAAAAAATTATAATTATAATTTACCCTACTACAAACTTGGGAGCCAGCTATTTTGACTATATGAACTTGAGTCTCAAGATCTTTTACCTATATGTAATTGCATTTTTTCCAAATTTTTTTTTTAAATTTTGTTATGGGAAAAAAGTTTCCGATGTTACTTTAGATAACTTTATCTAATGTTCATCGAAACGACGTCGTTTTGGGGTTGAAAAATTAAAAAATTAGAGTGATAAAGACTATTATAACCCTGAAATAAATTAAAATTACAAAAATACCATGATTTCCGTCTCAAAACGACGTCGTTTTGATGAACATTAGATAAAGTTATCTAAAGTAACATCAGAAAAAACAAACCCTTTTGTTATCTTGTCCAAGAGCCTTGCTTAAGGGACACCAATTTTTACTTAGGCTCTAGAATCCTCCTTAGCTTACCAAGATTTGAAAGCATTTTTTTTTCCTACCGCAAAATTTGATAAATATTTAAAAAAATAAAAAACCATTTCCTACCGTATCATCTTCAATGCACACAAATTCCTCCCCACAAACATCTAGGAAGGTCCTTAAAGCAGCTATTGAAAGCTACCCAAATTTATCTTTGTTCTTATAATGGAGTAAATTAGAAGAAAGATGATTTCAGCTTTTGCCAAACTTTCCACTTCTTGCTCATGGGTGTTTACCTCTAATATGACAAAAACACTTTTTTTTAATAATTTGTTTTTTGGGCATAGTATTAATCTTTGTCATTTCAATTATTCCTCGTAAGTTAACATAGTTTGGGAGAGAGAGCCCAACTTTGAACTGGGCTGTGGGTCCAATTGTATGCGTTATTTGGTCCAAAGAAAAACCAGGTTGCGGCCCAAACTCTAAATTAATCATTTTCCTCAAAAGTTTCAATCTTCAAAACCCTAATTTGCACTACTCAAAAACCCTAAACCCCAAAACGCTGTTTTGATTGTTTGAGCTCACGAGTTATCAACGCATACTCTAATTGCCAAGCAATGAGACCACCGAGAGGCGGAGGCCGCGGCGGCGGTTTTAGAGGTGGCCGAGATGGTGGCTTTCGAGGCAGAGGTGGTGGTCGTTTCGGCGGCGGTCGTTTCGGTGGCGGCGGATTTCGTGATGAAGGGCCACCGTCCGAAGTCGTAGGTGTGTTTCCTCTTCCATTTTGGGACTTGAGAAACGTTTCTAGTTCTATAATCTCTGTTGTGTATTTCACAAACAGCTTTTGAGGTTTGAGAAGTCTTGTGCTTTGTAGTGTTTGTTGGTGATGACATGATTTTGTTTATGGGTTTTGAGAATTTGCAAAGAAAGAACACAACTTCATCCAAACCTCAGTTAAAAAAGAGATTTTTTTTTTTTAAATTTTTTGTTTATTCTTTTTTAATTTTATTTGTTGGGGAAAGCAAGTGAATGATGTGTGTTTTAATGCGGGGTCTTTGATTCGATGTATGCAGAGGTCTCAACGTTTATGCATGCATGTGAGGGAGATGCTGTGACAAAGCTTACGAATGAGAAAATTCCCTTTTTTAATGCTCCTATATATCTGCAAAACATGACTCAGATTGGGAAAGTTGATGAAATATTTGGCCCCATCAATGAATCTGTGAGTTTCTCTCCTTTTGTATTTTTAACATGTTGGTTACTTCTAGTTTTTGTGTTCTGTTATAGAGCTTGGTTGTGATTTGATTTTCTGCTTCATTTGTGAAATGCAGTACTTTTCTGTCAAAATGATGGAAGGGATTGTTGCTACTTCGTATTCAGCTGGTGACAAGTTTTTCATTGACCCAAGGAAACTGTTGCCACTTGCAAGATTTCTTACACCACCAAAGTATGAACTCTTTGCATCTCATTACCCAAAAGTTAACCTGTCTAAATATGGTACAATTAGTTTGCTCTGAAGTTGTAAATTGGAAAACACTCACATGAATGTGCACTGAAAAGTAGATAAAGATAGAGATTGGTTAATCAGTGCCCAATTAATTTTCCTTATTCTATTTATGTTTTTCGCTAACGTTATAAGTGTTTTTTAGCACTTCCAAGTTTTCTTCTTTGTTATCAGTGAATCTGTTATAAAGCGCTAGGTTGATGGTCACATTAGTCTATTACATGTCCCACAGATGTTTGTTATCAATGCGTGAACACTATTCTGTTATAACTTTATGAAGAATGTGCAAACTGCTTTATATGCTGTTGTAGTTTTGTGTGCATCAACACTATTCTTCTAAGTATACTTATGTTTGCAATTTGCAAAAAGGTGTTTTGAATCTTTTGATTTCATTGTAAGCATGTTATGCTTCTGTTATACCTAGAGCAATGGTTGCTTTTGTAGCCACTATGTTGAATGTGAATATGACATTCTGTCTTGGTGTACTCTCGTATGATATATTTTTTGTTTAAGGGATTCCTTGTAGGACTGTGGTTATAGTCTTGAAAGTTTGAATTCTAAATCCCAGTTTCTATCAAAATGGTTTTTTTGAGAATTATTGAATAGATGTTGCCACTGTTGTCAGCATATATTAAACAAAAATGTTGCTTTTTTTGACAGTGGGACTTTTAGTTAGTGGTTCCTTATCACTCAAAAAGAAGGGGAAAAATTGGGTCCTTTTGGGATTTTGGATTATTGGAGGCAAGGCAATACTTAATGACAAATTATCAAGGCTGAATTTTAGTTCTTGATCTTTGCTATGTACGTAGATATTATATTAAATGTATAGCTGGCACTGTCACTAAATTTCTTGAATTTAGTTTTATTTCACTCCCCTTTTCCTTGTTTCAATTATGTGGTTTGCAGTTGGATCTTTGTGTGCAAATTATTTATATCAAAATAATCTGTTGAGTTACTAATAACAAAAAATCTGCTATTATTGTTTGTTGTCAATATATAGATGCCTAAGCATCTCTGCCAACAATTTGTTAATTTTTGGTGGCTTTGAAGGGTATTGAAATTGTTGGAAGTGATTCAAGTTAACATGATTGGCTGATTATTGTTGCAGGGGACAATCACTAGGTGCTGGAGGTGGAGGCAGGGGAGGTCGTGGTGGAGGCAGAGGTGGCCGTGGAGGTGGTGGTTTTCGTGGAAGGGGTGGCCCAAGGGGTGGGAGAGGTGGTCCTCCTAGGGGTGGTGGACGTGGTGGTGGTTTCAGGGGAAGGGGGAGGTCATAGGGGAATTTTATGTAATGTTTTTTTCTCAGTGCTTCAATCATTTTGCTTTGAAGATAACATAGGGCCCCAATTGAAGATTTGATGCTGAATTGACTTTTTGTTGTTGTTATGGATTAAGTGGTTCCATTGCATGTTGCGTGAGTATATTATTATCATGATGGGGTGGATTGAGTTTTGTAGTTTCCATCCAAATTGGTGCTTTATTATATTGATTTGAAGTTCTCACATATCCAACAACAGATGTGCATATATCACTTTTGGGCAATGTTTTAAAGGTTCATAGTTCAATCAATTATATCGGTTGGGGTATATATGGTAAAACATCCAAAGATTAAGAAATTTAGAGCATGCTTTTTTCTAGGATTAAAGTCCAAATTATAGTTTTCACCCAAAAAAACTCCAAATTCTAGTTCTGCGGAGAACGTATAGTATTAAACAAGGTTATGGGTTTTTTTTTTTAAAATAATGTACTCAAAGCAATATCTCATTGGGTTGGCCAATTCTTCAGCCTAAGCATTCCAGAGGAGAAATGTAAAAGGAACGGGAGCAACGATCACATCTTGCAAATAATTTCCTGGTTAAGCATTATACAATATTCACTGATTTAGGCCATTGATAACTTTTAGATTTTATATGCATTTGCGTCAAAATTTTGACAATGCTAGGCACATATACATTTATATATACATTTTATATGGCAGGTAATCGTAATCTGTTAAAAAATGTGAGACAGCAGCTCATGATAAAAAAGATATATGCTTTTGTTTAATTTTTAAAGCAATATAAGTACCGAATAGAAAACAGTTCAAGAGACTTTACAATATTCTAATTTTTTATCATTAAACAAAAAATAATAACCCTTCAATTAATTTTTTTTTAACTCTCTTGTGCATAAAATAATGTATAGCATAAATGATATCACAATAAATTTTACATAATTCTATTTAGCATACATATTAAACAAGAAATATTACATAATTTTTAGTTTTATACATCAATAGTCAAATAGTTAATATATATATATAAAAGGTTTTATAAGAGTTATGTTGTAGGAAAAGTGATTGTGTTATGTTATAGAGATTCGTTTTGCGTGCCGAAGTTTTTTTTTTTTTTTTGCTGCGGGTTCCACAGAATGTTGCGTGTGTAATTTTTTTTATGGTCATGTTAAATGATAGATGATAAACCCATAAAAAAGATGCTGAATTGTTCAGCATATTTTTTAGTATGCATCAAGTGACAGTTTTTACGAGTTGGGTTCGCCTCTTTCTTTTTTTTTATAGATAAATCATGAACAATCATATTTCGGGTGAGAACGTCTATGCCATGATAGGACTAACTTTCTCATTCTCAAAGGCAAAAGTAAGAGATGTGATGGCTGTGACAACATATATAATTATAGGAAAATATTACTCACCTTTCACATGAGATATCATCTTTTCTCACTTCAATTTTTGTACCCCGCTTTTTTCTTTTTTTCTTATAATGGTGGAATCCACCTATTTTCTCTCTACAACATAAGATAACTATCTTATGTTAAATGAGACTAATATAACCCATAATTATATATATAAAATTTTTGAGACTATAAATATATCAAAATATGTATTTCTTTGTAAGAGAAAAAACAATTATAGAATTCATTTAGTTCACATATAATTACATCTTTCATTCTATCCAGTTGGAACAAAATATATTTTTTATTATAATAATATATTAGGTCAACTCATGGGCTTTCGAACTAAGCCTAATTAAATTAGATTTGGACTTGTTTGCTAGACAAACATTTTTTAAAGCTTGAGCCTGTTATATTTATTAAACAAGTAAGACCATGTCAAGTTTAAAGCAAGCTAAGTCTTAGGCCCCTGACAAGTCGCTCGGCTCATTTACACCCCTCGTGTATTTAACATTATCTAAAACACTAGTAATACAATCAGGGCATGTTTGATGCATAGTATTGGATAATGCCTGAGAGTATAAGATCTGATTGTATAAGACTTGATTAAATTTTAATACTATTTGGTATGATATTATATAAGTTAAATATCCTCCAATATTTTAAAAATTAATATATTAAAAAAATTATTTTAATATATTAATATTGAAATGATATATTAGTTCTTGAAAATTATACTTATAAGCAATATTAGTACATTAACCCCTTATCAGGCCTATTCCTACACCTTTAGGTCTGATTAAGTTATACATCATTTTGATGTATTAAGGAGTTCTGCTGTATAAGCTTATACTATACGATGATCATACTAAATAACTGAAAATGTCATAACGTATAGTATAAATTTATACTATCAAGTCTTATACATCACACCAAACACGGATCAGTGCCATCAAATGCACGGATTACATATTCATCTTTTTAACAGTTGCTGCATATTCGTAAAGTCTGCACTGAAGTCAGTTTTATAGAAAGTAACACTTTCAAAAGGAAAACAACTAATTTTATATTAGATAAAATTCATAAAAAGCTAAAAAAGGTTCCATTTATGTTGGAAACATTTATATTCTTATTATTTATTTATTTAAAAAAAAACTTGTCAAATTTTAATTTTTATAAGTCAGCAATTCAATTAATACCTTGAACTTATGAGTTTCAGTTAAAATTTACTTTAAGGTTCATGAAGTATGTAACACATTTTGAAAATCTACTCACATTTTTTTATTTTTAGTATTTTAAGGCGGTTAGTGTAAAAACATTGATACACTAACAGCAAATGAAATATTAATCCAAGAATAGTATCTGGAGCCCTCCTCTTTGATAAATCAGATATAAAATGGATCCAAGAAAATTTGAGGGTGAAAATATAAGTCACCCAACACATGAAAGCATAAAAAACTTTGTGGTAGCAAGAATTGTTAAGTGTTTGCTGAGACCAGAGCTCTTATTGAAAGAAGCAGCAATAGGGTATCAAGCTTCCCAACCCCTAAGGACAGTAGCACGTGCTACACGATTAACTGCAAGGGTAAAGGCTCCCATACGAAGATCACATTCATGGGTTTTGCACATTTCCTTCACATCTTTGAAACCTTTGGTCATATAGGTCTTTAGTGCATCGTTCACTTTTTCCTCATCCCACATGAATCCTTGTATGTTCTGTGTATTACAAAATCACCATATAAGTACTACATAGAGTATATTAATTGAATTTGTAAGCCTACCACATATATTATAACATATCTATGAAATCATACAATTCATTATATAAATTAATAGTTAGTTACCTGAACCCACTCAAAGTAGCTAACTGTAACGCCTCCTGAATTTGCAAATATGTCTGGGAGTATCACAACACCTTTCTTCTTTAGAATCTGCAAGTTAGGAAGGTAATTAACAAAAGTGCATTTATTCTTTCCTTGTTTGAAAAAAAAATGAAGGAATGAGAAAATATAAACTAACCTCATCGGCCTCTGGGTCAGTTGGGTGATTGGCTGCTTCAATAATAAATTTGGCCTTTATTTCATTTGCATTTTCCCTTCAACCATACCAAAAAAAATAAAATAAGAAACTTTAGACCTACCCTTTATTATAATTCAACTTTAAAATATTGCTTTAGGAGGCTATTAGAAAATGCAATAAGAAATTTGGTTAGCATATATCAAAAGGGTACTAAACTAACAAAGAAAAATGGATGGTTCAATTTGATGTTTGCTTTCAAAGTAAGCTATGATGATGATATCGTTTTATATTGTTTGTTATAACAATCTAATATTTGAGGTTCCCCACATGACTTTTTATAATTTGTGAGGAAAAGCACCTATTGATGACACCCCCAAGAGCTGCTGGGACTAAAACATCGCAGTCTTCAACCAATATTGACTTGGGATCAATTGAATCACCACCGTGAAATCCTTTTACTCCACGGTGCTCTTTGGAATGATTGAGTAGGCTTGGTATGTCAAGACCATTGCTGTTCTTTATGGCTCCAGTTATGTCACTCACAGCAACAACTTTTCCACCTTTCTCACTAATTAATTGAGCAGCCCAAGACCCCACATTTCCAAAACCCTGAAGAAATACACAACATAATAGCATAAGTTTGTCTCAAATTCATCAAAATATTAAATCCAAGAACCCCTTTGGCACAGTTCTTTCCTATCTACATAGCTAATGCTTCCTTCTTTTCCTCTAGGCTATATAGTGAAACAGCCCAAAGGTTCATTTTTTATTATTACCACAGTTATGTTAACATAATGCATGCTACTTTTATTAGCATAGAGATCAATGAGAGTAATATACAAGGCACAATAAGTACCTGTATGACAAACCGTTGTCCAGACACACTCTTTCCATATTCATTAAGCAAAGCCTCTGTTCCAAAGAGGACTCCTCTTCCTGTAGCTGCATCTCTTCCTAGAGATCCACCAAGATCCTAGTTTGAAAAAAGAAAGCATAAATAAATAGAAACGGGAATGGTTTATAAAGCATGAATTGGTGTCAGTTCAATGCCAAATAGAAATGAAATGACAAACACAAACAATTTCTTACTATTGGTTTTCCAGTCACTACTGCAGGAGAGTAGCCATGAAATTTGGAATACTCATCTAGTATCCATGCCATGGTCTGCAAGCATAACCACACAGTAAGATAAAATATTGAATTCCAAAAATTATATTAGTGCATTTCTGAGTCAAATATAAAGTAAAAATAACATAATCAAAAGTATAATCATAAACAAACAGCAGCAGATTCACTTCTAAATCTGTGTACTGACCTGTGGTCCGGTTCCCATATCAGGTGCAGGCACATCTGTGTGAGTTCCAATCAGATCATGAATTTTCTGGGTGAAAACTCTGGTAAGTCTTTCTAACTCAGACATACTTAATTCTCCTGGGTCACACCCTATTCCTCCTTTGGCACCACCATATGGTATATTTGCTACAGCTGTTTTCCATGTCATAAGTTGTGCTAAAGCATTCACTTCATCTGGGTCAACCTACTTAATTCAATAAATGATTCAGAATAATAGCTGAGAGCCTAAAGCATATATATATATGTTTTATTGCTGCCCAAGTTACACAAATTTAAGAGAAATAAACCAAATTATTATCATTGACAAAAATCTGATAGCAACTCAGTGTGTTAGAATATAAATAACCTCAGGATGGTATCTAATTCCTCCTTTCATAGGGCCTCTGGCATTATCATGTTGAATCCTGAACCCAACATAAGATTGCAACGTGCCATCGTCTTTAGGTATGGTACACTCAACCTGCATTTTTGTGAAACATCATTTGTGAAACTAGAGTTGGTTAACAATATGAAACACAACAAGGAAAACAAAGAGTAAACTAATTTGCCAGAACAAAGGCATGGAAAACGCAAGATGATACAGTTTTTCTTGCCTTGATTTCCCTGAATGGAATCAGTAAACTTTTCTCAAGCTTGGAATCCAATCCCAGAAGCCGAGAGGCCAGCTTAAAGTTCCTGTTGGTGGCTGCTAGTGCATTCATTGTTCCCCTTGTCAACTGGAAGGACTAACACAATATTCAATCTTCTAGCCAGAGATATATACAAGACGCGGAAAACAGATCTTGCAGTGTTAGTATTATTGGGACTATAGAAATAATATGGAAGATGAAGACATATCCATATGTAGTAATATTTATAGCAAGAGATACACAAGAGCCAGCTCTAGTCAATGTCAACAATATAAACTAGTGAAAGTTTGGTAACGCCCATATAGGACAAACAAAATGGATAAGTGTCAACAATGTTGCCGCACCCTATGTGGATCAATGTCAGCAGTTAATCATGAAAGATTAAGATGACACAAAAAAAAAATTTACCTCCGCTCTCTTACAAAACAAAGGCTAAATATAATTTAGTTGTATTTATATACAAGGCATGGTTTAGGTGGCACCAAAGTTGCTTCTAAAGTGCAATATCCAATAAGAACATTTTGGAAAAGATTATTAATTTTGCTGTAACAATCTTCTTCAGCAGTTAGTGTACCTGTTTTGTGTTCTAACTTCTTTCACATCTCCATGAAGAAAAATTGTTACAGAAATTTACCATGCTCCTTGGGATAAGTATAAAAGTTGATTTTTCTCATTTTTCTGTGAATTCAAATTTGATGTGTTCAGGAAAATTACACTTAAACACCTTATGACTGAATTGTGTAGCCAGTGACCTTTTTAATGACTCGTTATAGGATACTATTGGGCAAAGCGTTAGCTGAAGGTCCCAAAAAGAATCTCAGGAAAATCACCTTTCTACAACTTCAAGAAGGGCCAACTATTTTGGAATCTCAATGAGACAGAAATTGTAAGAATTAGAAGTTCAGTGGCTCCAAAATTTCTGAAGAGGCACGATTCAGGTGAAGTAAGAAGCAAGATACTCTAACAAAGAGACAAAATTCTACCCTCTAAGAGCAACATTTTTTAATGTAACTAGTCGTCTAAAATTGTATTATGTTTCTTGCACTTGCGGGTTAAAATTAAATTCATTGCTTCCACAACTTCATAATTGTCGATTAGAGGCCACGGATATCTATGAACATAAACTACGCATTTAACAAATGCATATCTTCTTGTGGCATGTGTTCCGGGTCATGACTTCCTACCACATAATATTATATTTTATTACAAGTTCATCTGCCAATTACAAAATATGGGAATACCAAACTTTACGATAAATGTTATATTTACAAATTTTTTGTTTACAAACTACACTAAGTATGACCGGTCATACTTCAATTAAGAGTGTATGATCGGTCATACTTAGTGTAGTTTATAAAAAAAGTTTGTAAACGGATCTTTCTCCAAACTTTATTAAATTATTTTTCCAAGTACTTGCCTTCCACGATGCCCCATCATGTAGTATTGATCTTACAACCCTCTTGGCTATGACTGTCCTTAGATCTATTTACATAAAAGGAGGAGGTTGGTTCTGCTTTTTCTTTCCCATTTTTTGTTTATAATATTTAAATGTATATCAACCTCCCCCAGTTGGCAAGTTGTTCTGCTTTCATATTTAGGGGACAAGTTCTGGACCCAATGCAATAAATTCAAGACTTTGTCTCAGCAATCATCCTAAAAACTCTCTTTCTTTAAAAAAACAAATTGTTTGAGCAACACTTGGGTAGTGTGAAAGAGAACATGCTAAGCCAGCTTAGCATTCACTGGTTCAGCTACTCAAATTGGTACCAGATGAAATGAACAAACACAGCCTAAGTTACCAAAATGGAAAAGCTTATCATAAGGGATAAGGTTGTGACTTGTAAATGAATGCTAAAGAAGGAGACTTCACATAGATCAAAGATGCATGCAATTATCAGAGGGTTGTTCAAGCTCTGCATCATTAATGAGGTAAACATATATATTAAAAATTTGGATTTCTCCCCAAACTAAATAACTTCAGAATGCCATAATGGCATATGTGGCTGCCCAAAACCGTGAGCACTCTAAACCTGACATCAGCATAGGACTAAATGTTATTTATAAATGCAGTAAATTTAATAACATAATGGAAAACAGCATATCATCTTTCTAAAAGTGGCTTCCTAGAAAAACGCTGTGGTTAGGTTATCAATGATAAATATATTCAAAGTCTATACAATTATTCAAACAAGGAGGGATGACTTCTTAATAATCTTTGGCCCCCCCACTCCCACGTTTATGATTTTTATGTAACCCTTGCACATATCCAATTACTTCAAGTACACGTCAGTTTCTTATCATTTGATATACGAATCCAATTAAAAATAACCGGAAAAAACTTTATACCATGCACTCAAAAATCCAATCAAGTAAATGTTTTCTGGGCTAAGCTCTTAACTGACTTTTAAACAGTCAAAGATTTGATCTTCTTGGCATTTTCTCTTTGCATCTTCACAATTAAATTTAAGCAGAAACAAGCAATGGTGTGATGAAGATGCAAGTCATGTGGGACAAAAGGGATAATTTATGTGTTGGCTGTAATCTATTGAAAGCTACACAAAAGTCATTTCAGTAATTTGCCATCAAGAGATTCAAGACATATAAAACAAGATATTCATAATAGTCCAATTTTTAGTATTAAATAAAACACAGACCTTTTGCTTCAACTTTGGTCAGCACTTTGCATAAATAATCATCATGGTTTATCCAAAGAGTAAAATATTAAAAGAAAAGAAAAAGCCCAGTCATCATTATCATGCTAATTGAATAATACTAAATAGAAGCTGGTAAAGTGTTCATCTTTATCAGCATGATCCAGAGTCTCTGACTCTATAGGTAAGGAACATTACACCAAAGAGCAATTTATTCTCTAGTTGAAGACATTAAGTTCCTTACTAGCATTTCAGAAAACTAGAGAGGACTTAAACCAACCAAATTTGTTCAGCACAATCAATAACATTTCAAATGCAAGAGAGTTAAGAAACATACCAAGAAATGGATAGGGAAATGCTGAACCAGACTTTCAGAATCTGAAACAGTATGAATCTGGGCTGGATCAAATGAGTGGAAGTCCCAACCAAGTCAAGGCTTAACAGAACACCGACAAATATATATATATAGTGAAAGGGAGAAAGAAAGAAAGAAAGAAAAAAGGAAAAAATAAAAACCCCAAAACTGGGGGAGAATAAGAATAGAATTCCCAAAAGGAATCTAATTCAATTGCAGCTGCACACACACACACCAAATATGCCAGAAACAACACAAGTCACTCAATCAAATCAACAAGTGTGTTGGCTTTGGTCAGAATTACAATTCTACACTGTAAACAGAATATGGTGCGCATGTGAAATCCTTTCATAACACCCACTAGGCATCAGATAGCATATCTGAATTCTGAAAACTCACCCTTCACAATTAGTCCCTGCACTGCCACCCACATTCACACACAAAAACACACACACACACACACACACTCTTTTAAGTATATCACTTCAAAGAGAAAGAAAGCATAAGCATAAGCATAACGTGGGTTGCACTGCCACTGCCAAGTGACCATAAATATAAATGGTTTCATCGCTTACGTGAATCCAACGCGATTCCCACATAGCACTAACCAATCACATCATATTATGTTTTTGCCATTCTTTTTCTCCAAAACAAAAAAAATTGATATTTGCATATTGCACTTCTACAAATAGCCTTCTTACTTTGAATTCCTCCTCTCCCTCTGAATCTGGCAAATATTTTTAATACTACGGATTTACCTAACTTGGTACATTCATTTATTTAAGGGAACAAATTTTTTATTTACAAATTATACTATGTCTGACCGGTTCATACACTCTTAATATTTGACTAATCATACTTAATATATATAGTTTGTAAGAAAAAAAATTATAAATATAACCTTCTCCTTTATTAAATTAATTGAGAAAAGTTTAAAAAAACATAAAAAAAAAGATTAAAGTAAAAAAAGTTACCCATTTCAATAAACGGGTGCACCACCAGTTCGATAAATAGGGGATAACAAAAGTTTGCTCCCGAATCTGCTACCCGACACAAACAAGTAACCTTTGATTTTGGTTTCGTGCAACTTTGTCCTTTCCAACTTGCGTCATCTTGAATGAGTTGGAAATATATTTTAGTTGTATAACTCAGAAATAGGTTATTTTACTGTTTATCAAAACAAAAAAAAGGTTATTTTACTTATATTTTAATTTTTAATACTATTAAATTAGAATAAAGAGAAAAATAATAAAATTTTAATCTGACGGTGTTGTATGAGACAAATATGAAAAACATATTTTTCATAACTTATTATAGTATATTTTAACCCAATAACAACGTAATTTAACTCAAAATGTTAATATTTCTTAATAACATATTTGTATTATTATTATTGTTATTTAGAAAAGGCTATATTTATTTATTTATTTTATTATCTCTTATTATCATATTTTAACCGATGATTTCTTTTAATTTAATGGTTATAATTTATTAATATTTAATAATTAATTAATAAGTGTGATCCAATAAATTATAACTGTTAGATTGACGGAAATCAACGGTTAAAATTTGGTAAAAAGGGTAGTAAGAAAAAAAGATAATAAATTTCGGGATTATATTTATCTTATATTATATAAGATAAACAAACTTCCTAAACACACAAAATGGAGATGAGTCTCATATCTATTTTTTTTCTCTCCTCTTACATATGAGTTCTACTTATAATTTTATTTCTATAACATAGGATAATCATTTTCCTACGACATAAGATAAATATAACCCCAAATTTAACCTCCCTTGTTATTTAGTTAAAACATACAACGATAAGTTATATAAACTAAAACAAAAAACATTTAACTACCGACACCTAAGAGTCGTTTTAACAATTAAGTTTAACTGATTTGATCCATGACTCATGAGTGGACTTTAGCTTAATGTGAACCCTAACATTATCCAAAATAAACGAGACCAGATAAGGGTCCAAGAGGGACTAACCCCAGAGCTGGACCACAACAATTTAATGTTCCAAATCCCAACACGGTGTTTGTTTAATTTGTGATATCCATTGCTTCTATTATTCATCTCTACCCCTTTAAAACTTTATGCAAGAAAACAAAGGTAAAAGAGAGAGGGCCCATTAATAAAGAGACAATAATTGAATGCAGAAAAGTCTTCCAAAACGACAAAGTGTACACATTATTAGAGCAAGAGTAGATAACAGGGGAATTCTCACATGAGTTTTTCATGTAAATTTTTTTTTTAATTTTCTTTTTATAAAGATTAAATAAGTGGGTTCTTATAGTTTTGAGTAAATATTTTTTTCGATCAGCAAATTTCACGATACTCACTTTAGTCACTAGCAAATAAAAAATCTATTCATGGTCTCTAAGAAATTCAAAATAGATCCATTTTAATGTGGGTTTTTTTTAATTTGTGAGTGACCACGATTTCAACTAAATCAATCCATTTTGAATTTTTTAGGGATCACGAATAGCCTTTTTATTTATTAGTGACTAAAGTGGGCATCGTAAAATTTGTTAACAACCAAAAAAAGTATTTACTCTGTAGTTTTTCATACTTCTTGCATACTATTACCATATATTTTGTTGAATAACGAGAGAGAAGAGAGGAACATTGAAAATAATATTGTGTGTATTGATATGATGAAGCATTTACAATATATAGACACTCTAATGGGCTAAGCCCAAACCTAATACAAAAGAAATAAGGAAACCCTAATTACATAAGAAATAAGGAAACCCTAATACAATATATTTCTAACACTCCCCCTCAAGCTGGAGCGTATAGGTTATATGCACCAAGCTTGTTACATATAAATTCTATTCGAGGGCCCCTCAAAGATTTTGTAAACACATCTGCTAATTGCTCATTAGAGGGTACAAAGCTAGTTTTAATTTCACCAGCAAGAACCTTTTCTCGAACAAAGTGACAATCTATTTCTAAGAACCGTGCAAATCCCCCTTGATTGGACCAGAGACCCATTGGCCATAGTAATTGTTGGAAAAGAACCAGTAGTACAAAGGGAAGTGAATAAGGACTTATTACCAGAAATATGATCAGAAGCCCCAGAATCAAGAGTCCAAGGGCCTATAGAGTACAAATGAGAGTTGTCTGTCCAGTATCTTCAAACTTAAGCTCTCTGAGAAGCTGTTTAAGTCAGATGAGCTCGCAAGTAGTAGTCGCCATGGAGCGGTATTCTGCTTCAGCACTTGATTTGGCAACTACGCTTTGTTTCTTACTTTTCCAGGAATTCAAATTGCCTCCAACAAAGACTCAATACCCAGAAGTAGATCTCCTATCAGCTGGACAACCAGCCCAATCAGCATCACAGTACCCAACAACTTTATCATGACCTTTATGTTCATATTCAAGGCCTTTTCCTGGAGATGCCTTGATATACTTAAGGATACGGATGACTGCATTCCAATGTTCTTGACATGGAGAGTTGAGAAATTGACTGACAACACTAACTGCAAAGGAAATATCAGGCCGAGTGACTGTGAGATAGTTCAATTTTCCAACCAATCTTCTATACTGCTCAGGATCTGAAAAAGGCTCCTCCTGATTTGGTAGAAGCTTGATACTTGGATCCATATGACTATCAACAGACTTTGAACTCAACAAAGCAGTTTCTTCAAGAATATTCAGAGCATATTTCCTCTGAGATATCACAACACCAGCTTTAGATTGGGCCACCTCGATTCCCAAGAAGTATCAAAGTTTCCTAAGATCCTTAGTCTGAAAATGATGACATAAATGTTGTTTCAATCGAGTGATCCCATGCCGATCACTGCCTGTGATGACAATATCATCCACATATACCACCAGATAAATAGATCCAGAAGCAGAATGACGATAAAAGAGAGAATGATCAACTGAACTCTGAGTCATGCCAAATTGTTGAACAACACTGCTAAATTTACCAAACCAAGCTCTTGGAGATTGTTTGAGGCCATAGAGAGACTTACGAAGACGACAAACAAGACCAGCCTCCCCCTGAGCAACAAATCCAGGAGGTTGCTCCATATAAATTTCTTCCTCAAGATCACCATGAAGAAAAGCATTCTTGATATCCAGTTGGTAGAGAGGCCAATGACGAATAACAGCCATGGCAATAAAAAGGCGAACAATAGACATTTTTGCCACAGGATAAAAAGTATCAATAAAATCCAAGCCAAAGACCTGAGTGAAACCCTTCGCCACCAAGCGAGCTTTAAGACGATCTACTTGACCATCAAGTCCAACCTTAACAGCATAAATCCATATGCAACCAACCACAGATTTGCCAGAAGGAAGAGGCACCAGATCCCATGTGCCATTATGATGAAGAGTACTCATTTCATCAATCATAGCTTGTCTCCATCCCGAATGTGAAAGTACATCACCTGTAATCTTAGGAACATATACAGAGGACAAAGAGGAAAGGCAAGCAAAATATGATGGAGAAAGACGATGGTAACTAATATTGACTGTATACCTGGCCGGAGGGCGATTATCACGAGTACCCTTACGAAGAGCAATGGGAAGGTCACTATCCGAAGGTGGGACCGATGCCGTGGGAGGAGATGCAGGTGAATGTGAGTCCACAGAGACATCTGACGAACTATGCTCGATCTCATCAGCAGAAGAGGTGATATAAGAAGAGTCAGAAACATGGACGGGTAAAGATGGAAGGTAAAGAAGGTCAATTGGGAATGACGACTGTACAGAATCAGTGTCCACAGGAGTAGTAGAGGATCCAAAGAAGGGAACTGATTCAAAAAAGGAGACATCCGCCGAGATAAAGTATCGACGTAAAGTGGGAGAGTAGTAACGGTAACCCTTCTGAGACCGAGGATAACCCAGAAAAACACATTTATGAGACTTGAGAGCTAATTTATCCAAACCTGGACCAAGATGATGAACAAAACACGTAGAACCAAACACGTGTGGAGTTAAAGGATATAAAGCCTGATGGGGAAATAAAATAGAGTGAGGTACCTTATGATTGAGAACAGATGATGGCATGCGATTAATGAGATAACATGCAGTAAGTACAACATCACCCCAAAAGGTGTATGGAACATTACCATCAATTAACAAGGCACGAGTGGTTTCAACCAGATGGCGATTCTTGTGCTCGGCTACACCATTTTGTTGAGGTGTATGAGGGCAAGATGTTTGATGAAGAATGCCATGAGATGAAAAGAAATGTTGAAATTGATGAGATAAGTACTCACATGCATTATCACAACGAAAAGTACGAATAGGAATACCAAACTGAGTTTTTATTTCATTATAAAATAACTGAATAATAGAAAACAACTCAGATCGTTTTTTCATTAAAAATAACCAAGTACATCTGGAATAATCATCAATAAAAGTAACAAAGTACTTAAAACCCAAAGTAGAAGACTGACGGCTGGGTCCCCAAACATCAGAGTGGACCACATAAAAAGGAGAAACAACTTGACGACTAAGACGACTCGGAAACGTACTACAAGTATG